CAGCAGCTCCTTGGAAACCCTATACAGGGTTGCTATGAGTTGGAACTGACTCTACCGCACTTAACATCAACAACAACTGGAAGGTTCGTGGGTTGAGTCCTACCCAGAGGTTTCTAGGAAGAAAGTCCTGATAATCTATTTCTGAAACATCAAACATTGAAAACTCTGTGGAGTACAAGCCTACTCTGAAATACCACAAGTCAGAAAGCTGACTTGTGAGCTACCAGTTGGTTATTTTCTCAGTGATTTTTATTTTACACACAATTTTGTGTCATTCACAACTGAGGTTCCTTTTCACTTATTTTTGCTTATTTTACCCTGGGAAGGCCATTAATTTGTGGCATTCAATATTTATATAAAAATATAAGAACATTTGCTTTGTCACCTATGTCATAGAACTGATTAGACATTGTACACACATATAAAACACACACATTTGTGTATATACTGTAATATCTTTTAATAGAGATGCAAGAAAGAAATGGAGAGCTCATTTATGTCTGAGGTATTTGCCTGCATAGCAAAGGAAGTAAATACTTCACCCTTATCCTGTGCTCCCGTCCGGAACATTCTGCTTATGTCCGGACTTATCGGAGGCCTGTAGCCTAAGTACATAGCACCGCAGGGAAGAATGTGAATGTGATGGGGAAAAGATGGTGGCAAAAGATAAAAATAATGAGCTCAACTTAAGCCTAATGATAGGTTATTTTCTCTCACACTTAATTATATAACGGACATTTTTTTTCTCCTTATGATCAAAATAGTCTACTATTTATCATACTGCCATTAACAGTTTAATTACTAGTGACTGAGGAGGGTGATTTGCAGAAACCTAAAATTATGGCTAATCTCTGAGAAGAAAAAAAAGTAATTTAGTGCTCAGATAAGATAAATATGTTCTAATGTTGATTTCATGAATAAAGCAAATGTTAATTGTGGTAGACATTTAATATCTGAGAGCCACAGCAGTTACATGATGATATTTTGACATAATTTTACTTAATATGTTCATATCTGGCTATGACTCAGGTCAAAGAACACGTTTCAAATGACGTTTGCATATGGTAAAATCTCTCTATGCAATGCTAGTGTACAACATCAATATTGTCATGTTCTTTCAAGGCCAGGTAGGATATACAATTAAACATCACTCTTGGGTTATAATTAGGGAGAACATATAATTTATCATATGAATTGGGACACTTTTATTTCAACACAAGTATTTACTATTTTGGGTGGATAAACATGACTTTATTACAGGGTTGTGTGGTGGTGGTTGTGTGCCGTGAAGTCAGTTCCGACTCATAGCAATCCTGTATGGGGTTCCCAAGGCTGTAAATCTTTACGGGAGCAGAAAGCCTCATTGTTCGCCTGTGGAACTGCTGGTAGTTTTGAACTGCTGACCTTGAGGTTAACAGCCCAACTTGTAACCACTATGCAACTAGTTATCACTAAGTACAGGGTGGTGTAACTTTGAAGAAATTACCTTCAACCTCTCAACTAGTCCTAAATTTTTCCCTTCATCCTCTCAGCGATGTAGTCCTAAACTTTACCTGCCCAGGTTTTGGCAATTAGAACCACAGTAGGTTTGCATTTTTGGTCTTTCTCCATAGTTACTGGCTTCTTTTGTGCTTATGTGTCCACGTGGGACCTGCCCCAGGAGTAAGCCTTTTGTCCTGTTCCCTCTCCCTAGAGGGGTAGGGGTGTCACCGTTCACTAGTGAATTTAAGAAGAGAAATGAGCAGACTCAGATAAGCCTTTCTATACATGCCCACAGGGAAGTGACATTCAGCTCTCCACCCCGCAGCATACTTTCTTGGCAGGCTCTGCTCTTGATGGGGGAAAGAATTAGGATGGGAGACTCTTTCATGTTAATAAATTGGGTATGTCTAATTTTGAGATAATTAATTAGTAATAGAAAGAACATTTAGCTGCTAACCGAAAGGTTGATGATTCAAACCTACCCACCCAGCACGTTCCATGGGAGAAAGTTCTGGCTGTTTGCTCTCATAAAGATTACAGCCTAGAAAACCACATGTCACGTGGGGCTGCTATAAGTTGAAATAGACCTGAAGGTACTTGACAACAGCTGTTTGTAAGAGAAGGCCTAAGTGGTTCAGTGGTAGATCTCTTACCTTCCATATGAGAAACACAGGTTCAATTCTTGACTGGTGCTCCTCACGCACAGCCACCAGTGAAATCTTGTTGCTATGCTGCTGAACAAGTTCCAGCAGAGCTTCCAGACCAAGATGGACTAGGAAGAAATGCCTGGTGTTTTACATCCTAGACAATCAGGCAATAAAAACTCTGTGGGGATCACAGTGATCCAATCAGTGGGGATCACAGTGATCCAATCAGTAACCAGTGGGGATAGCCCAGGAGTGGGCAGCACTTCACAAGGGAACAACATCATGACAGCTAACAAGGAAACAACAATTAGTAATAGGATGTCCATCATGGCTGCAATCTAAGCCTCCAATCTAGTCTGTTTAGGTATTAATGATAATGTTAACCTTCATTTGTTTAGTTCCTGCCTCTATTTCTTAATTGGTACAACGATCCTGTTGGACTTATTGCTTTCTACCTTGAGGGTAGTATTTCTGTTTGATGATAGGCTTAAGAGTTTTAGTCAGTGGCTTAAAAATAACAATAAACCAAGCAAGACATTTGTTTGAGTAAAAAGAGAGAGTAGATTGTTTAATGATTTCTCTAGGAAAGCTGACCAAGCCAGAAGCTTCCAATATACCTAGTGCTGATCCTTAAACAGAGCTGAATCCTTGGTTATCTAGAAGAGTTTTCCCTTGATACTCTTCATCAGTTTTGTAATTCTGTGCTAGATATGAATTGACTTAATTTGGCTTGTTTTGAGGATCTTTTTACATTTGAGAATAGACTTCAGAAATTAGACTTTATCAACTTGAACCTTCTGTTGAATATAAGGTCATTAAAATGATTTTTCTTCTTTCTCTCCCTATATCAACTATTCTCTCTTCTTAAGATTCATTATAAAGAAGAATATAAAAAGTCAAAGGACAAGTGTACATCTGTGACAGATACTCCTATGTTAAACCATGTAAAAAATATTGGTGCATTTATTTCTGAGGTAAGGTGTCAAACCTTGCAAAATGACTTGAATTTTCTCTTTCTTTATAGTTAAAAGTCTATGCATTAAAGTTGAATAATATTTTTGAATGAACCATTGAATGTTCAATTTATATAACTTTTCATTTGAAGGACATTTTAGCTATTTTATATCAACTAGAAAAACCAACTATGTTAGCATTCATAATGCAATTGCAGTTCCAATTTTAATTTGTAACCAGTATTGTATTATTTTTCAAAATAATGAATATTTGTATGAAAGTAAGTCAAGACTTTTCATTTGTTCAATAGCTAATATATAGTTGACACAGTAATTAAGGAGATGATTTATTTTATTCTTAAATGCTATGGAAATGGAATAATTGTTAGTCACACCCATTACTGGTAGCTACATATTATAATGCAAGGCACAAAGAGTCAGGTAAATATTTTAGATACCTATATTTTAGCTGTTAATACTGTTATAGCTTTGTTGTTAATATTGTTATTGTTAAATGCCATCAAGAAGATTCTGACTCATAGCAACTCTGTATAGGGGTTCTGAGGAGCAAATGGTGGTTCACAGTCCAGCGCTGACCCTATAGCACCACACCAGGAGTTATTAACATTATATGCTAGTCTGAATTTTACATTATGATGTATAAAAATAAGGTGTTTATTTTAAAAGAGCTCTTTATCCATGTATTAGCCATTGCTCTCTTAAAAGAATCACCTGATGAAAAGTGAAGATTTTAATGTAGTTCCTTCTTATTTTTATACTGAAAATCCTTCTTTCTTGTGCTTCATTTGCTTTGGTAGTAGTTAAACCATATGCACTTTCATATGTAGAAATTATTAGTGCCAAATGGCTTAACCTAAGTTGTAAGCCTTTTATTTCTTTAGTTTTCCCAAAAAAGTAGAAAAGGAAATTTTGGTCACAAATATCTTAATATAGTCTACATAACATAAAATAAAAATCCACACAGTCTAAGGGAAATATGACAGTTTTTAAGATAATCCCTATAGGTCCTTAACAGTTCTTTCCCCCAATAATCTCTGTATTCCTTTCAATGAGCATCTGGCTTGAAGTTTCTCAAAATTCCATTTTGTAATTGAACTTAAATAATTTGGTGTAGGCAATGAATTCTGAGACTGAGTTTAAGTGAAGGAAAATCAAGGTTAGATCATCACTTGTCAGAGGGGAAATACGGGCAGGCCTTTGGGTCATTCTTACCCCCTTTACACTACCCCCCATCCCATTTATTTATTAGGATGTTTTCTATTGTCACTTCATCAAAATTATTTGGGGAGCTTTAAAAATATGAACACTATTGTTCAGGCTCTGTACCCATGAAGCGCTGCTTTAGTCTGGGGTGGTACCTCAATTATCAATATTTAAAAGAGTTAACTTGTTGATTTAATGTTCAGTCATGGTTCACAATTACTATAGCACTTTGTGCTGTGTAATAAATGTGAGAAACACAAGAATTATCTATTTTACAATTATAATAGCTTATCATGCTGGCTTTATCATTTTTAAACCCAGCGTTCTTCTATATACTATGTCAGTGAACTCATATGGAAATTGATATATTTTGCTATATATAGTTTTGCCGTATATAGTTGGTCTAGAGTCCTGGTGTAGCATTGTAACTGGACCACAAAGTTGGTTTGAACCGAATGGTTGATGGCTCAGACTCTCACCATTTGCTCCTCTACAGGTCGCTATGAATAGGAACTGACTTGACAGCACTTAACAATAACAGTTACAGCAGTTGATCTATTTTATTAAGTGAAGTTCTGGTGTGGCACTGTAGGATAAGTTCTGGACTGCTAACCATAAGGTAGATGGTTCAAACCTACCAGCCACTCCTCAGAAACCCTGTCTGTACAGGGTATGTAACAGCAAGAACAGCACATGAAAAGAAATTTTTTATATATATAATTAAGTAGAAACCATTGGAAAAACAGTTAATGTTAGTCCTCCCAACTCTTAGTTTCTAAACAGACTTATTATATGTGAACTGTTGGATATCATAATTTTGAAAGTAAGTAAAATTTACCAGTCAATTCTATATAATGTGGTCTCTTTGATAAATAATATTAAATCAATTTAAACTTCTTTTGAAAGGGATAAATTCAGTTCAGTAGTGAAATCTACTATGAAACCAGAGTGAGAAATGTACTAGGTTCATTTTTCTAGCTGAAAAATCATAGAGTCTCTTTCTGAGAGGATTTAGGGCTGCAATTTATGTTGCATCGTAAAGCACAGAAATGTTAACAGTGATTTCTCTGATGAAGCATTCTTGTAGTCTGTGAATAGATCATTTAAAAGAGATAAACTTGAAAAGAGAATGAATAAAAGTGTTGTAAATTACTGACCTCTAGTGTTTCGTAAGTTATGTTGGAAAAAGATCAGCGTGATCTTCTTTGGATTATTTCAGCTAATTTGAAAGAGAACATTGAGGAAAATTGGTGACATTTCCTTTATTAAGTGACAGAATTCAAAGAATTCTGGAAACACAAAAATTATAGCATCAATAAATCAACATTCAAATCTAATTCATAGGAGGAGTCATATTAAAGTCTTATTTACAGAGTCTGAAAGAACATGATATTGTTTGCTATGCCTAATCTAAGTGTTTTTCATATGCAGAGAAATTTTTGGTGTTCTCAATTATTAATTGGTTCTATTTCCTAAAGTAGTTAACTGGTAGAACAGCAGAGAAGAAAAATGCAAGTGTATAATCTATTGTGTTCTTTTGAGTCTAATTTTCTTAAGAGAAAATGGTGAATGGGTGTTTCTCTTTGTAAGTGATAAGTGAGGTCTCTGAAGTCTTGGTGTGGGTGGTGCTATAGATTAATGTGCTGGACTGCAAAGTCAGTTTGAATGCAAGGTCGGCAGTTCAAGCTCACCAGTCGCTCCTCAGAAACCCTATACAGGGTCACTTTGGGTCAGAACTGACTCGATGGCCCTTAACAACAACAAGTAAGGTCTCTAGAGGCAGTGTGTAGTTGGATGGAGAGGCACAGAAGCAACAGAGAGCACTTCCATCCCCCCATCGCATGGGGACCATAGCTTTCACTGGTGGATTTCTGGTTGGCCAGAGGAGGACCAGAATTCAATTCCTAGCCAGTGCCCCTCATGTGCAGGCACCATTCAACAGTCAGTAGAGGCTTGCATGCTGAACAGGCTTTAACAAAGCTGATGAAGAAAGGCAAGGAAGAAAGGCTTGGCAATCTTTCAAAAATCAGCCAGGGAAAACCCTATAGAGGGTGATGATCTAATCTACAGCTGATTTGGGGGATGGCCCCGAACCAGGCAGCATTTCTTTGTGTTGTGCATAGGGTTGCCATGAGTTGGAGACCTAAACAACGACAGCTAACAATAACAATATCATCCATTGTGGCAGAAGGAGTTTAGGAAGAACGTTGTCTTTTGGATTCGGGTTTCAGGCAGTAAATTCTACTAATGACTTGTATTTTCTTCAACAGTTCTTAAATTTTCATCTTCACTGACCAAACAGACGTAACACTCTAGACACACAAATAGATTGACTTTTAGAAATGTGCGTGGATTTCAATGGAAAATAGTATTTTGTGACTTGTCTCTTCAGAATATGTTTGTCAGATCCAGTATCTAAAATCATGTTTAGAATTTTAGATTTTCAAATCAATTGTTTCTAAAGAAAGCTTATTTTTATTCTTTTTCTATTATTCACAGTAAAGGAAATGAGGAATGCTTTTCTTTTTTTCTCTCCTTTTCTTTTTCCCCAGGCCAAATACAAGGGCACTGTTAAGGCAGACCTTTCCAACTCTCTTTATAAGCAGATGCCAGCCACAATTGACAGCGTCTTTGCAAGAGAAGTTACACAGCTGCAAAGTGAGGTATAGTTTTCTTAAAGTGTTAAATAATTATGTAGATCAAACATATAGCCTGATAAAAATTATTTAGATTTCTTTTTACATTGTTTATCTTGGGTACTAAATATTGAATGTAAGTTAGAAATATTGGTTCATGTGCTGTCTATGGTGTATGGTAGAATCCTAGAAAATGAAAAAAACATGCAAGTTTATGTTCTTTTTCCTATCCCCACGCTACTCTGTTTATGTATAGAGTACATTTTAATTGCATTTAGACATTTAGTTGCTGTTGTTTTTTTTTTGTGCAGTCGAGTTGATTCTAACTGATAGCAACCCTGTATAGGGTTTCCTAGAGCAACTGGTCGATTTGAACTGCTGACCTTGCAGTTATAGCCCAGTGTTTATCCTACAGCCAATTAAATTTAATTCTTGGGGCAAATATTAAACTGTGCTCAGATTTAACTTGTGATCGAAAAGTGGAGAAGATTTCAGTAGCTTGTTGTTCAGTGACGTTGAATCAGTTTCTAATCATGTTGTTGTTGTTGTTAAGTGCTGTTGAGTTGGTTCCAACCCATAGCTACCCTATGTAGGATTTCCAAGGAGTGGCTGCTGAACTTGAATGGCCAAGCTTGAGGTTCAAACCGATTTTGCAGTCTGGCGCATTAATCCGAAGGCTACACCAGGACTACCTAGTGGGTTTAAACTGCTGACCTTGCGCTTAGCAGTCCAGTGCTTTTCCTACAGTGCCACAATCACAAAAAGAGTTAATGGTTGAATTGGGAATTCACAGATCTGTGCTCTGTCCTTTAGATAAGTAGTTCTGGAATTTCCTTTTCTGTGGGCTCTGGCTACCCAGTGGTGCCTTCTTCAAATGGCCACAGCTATTGCAGTCATCATAAGAAGTACAGTCAGAATGCTTCTTAGAAGCCAGGATGGCGAGACTTCATGTCTCATATTTCGGACATGTTTTCAGGAGGGCCCAGTCCCTGGAGATACCATGCTTGATAAGGTGGAGGGTCAGCGAAAAAGAGGAAGACCCCAAGGAGATGGATTATCACAGTGACAGCAGCGGTGGGCCCAAACGTCACAATAATTATGATGATACAGGGCAGAGCAGTGTTTCTGTTGGTCACAGGGTCACAATGAATCGGAACTTACTCAATGGCACTGAACAGCAGCAAGTTGCAGAAGAATTTAAAAACTGTCATCATGCAAGCTCATCTTGAATATAGGAGCTTGGTTGGTTAGCTATGTGCCAGGGAGTTCTTTACAACTCAGAGCGACCCTGTATACAGTTTTTGAGGCTGTAAATCTTTACGGGAGCAGAAAGCCTCCTCTTTCTCCTGTGAAACAGTTGGTAATGTTGAACTTCTGACCTTGAGTTTAGCAGCCCAGCTGGTAACCACTACGCTACCGGAGATCCTTAGATTCTTCCTTTTACATAGTTTGCATTCTTTCTTCATAGGACATTAGCACATAAGGAATTCTAAATGTATTTAATCTACTGTATTTCTTAAAGTGGATTTAATTTCAAAATAGGCTAGTTCACCTCTCTCGCCCTTTGTTGTTAATGTTTTGTTTCTTTTATAATGCAAACCGGTTTTTGTTACTTTAGTTTACTTGTTACTAGACTTGATAGTTGTTGTTGTGGCGCTATAGGATAAGCACTTAACCATAAGGTCAGTTTGAACCACAAGGTCGGAAGTTCAAATTCACCAGCTGCTCCTCAGAAGTCCTATAAAGGGTTGCTATTAAGTCAGAACCGACTTACCAACAACAGCAACACGTGTCCTGGTATGGTACTGTAGGATAAGCACTGAACCGTAAGGTCGGTTTGAACCCAAATAGTTAGCCATTTAAGGTCCCCAGCCACAGCTCCTCGGAAACCCTATACAGGATCTCTATGAATTGGAACTGACTTGATGGCACTTTGCAACAACAGCAAAGCTGCATGAGAGTAGAAAGTTCATCTGTCTTGTTCTCTGTTCTCCCCCTGTGCCTTTAGAACAGTGCCTGCAACATAGAGGGTGGTCAGTAACCACTTACAAATGGAGACTTGTTGGGTTTCTTTTAAGAAGATTCTTCCTTTTACATAGTTGTGCGTTCTTCATTCTAAACTTTAGTTAAATAATAATAGCAACACATAGAAAGTTAGGGATGTGGAAACTAAAGCACATAGAGGTTAAATAATTTGCCCAGTGCCACACAGCCAGTATGTGGCACAACTATTTAATGCGCATGAATCATCTAACTCCAGAGTCCGGGTTCTTAACCATATCACATTTCTACTACCATTTCTGCCCATCTTATTCTTTGACAGTTTCACTTCTTTCTCCAGAATCAAAACTTTCTTGTAGATGATACCTAGATAATTGACAGTCTGAAATACATTAAAAAGCCATCAAGTTGATTCCAACTCATAGTGATAGTGTTGTTCTTGTTGTTGTGAAGTGCCGTTGAGTCGGTTCCGACCCATAGTGACGCTGTATAGGATTTCTGAGAAGCAGCGGTGAGCTTGAACCACCAACCTTGCAGTTCAAACGGCTTTGCAGTCTGGTGCATTAACCCACAGCACCACACCAGGACTCCAGTGATAGTGTAGTATAGGACAAAATAGACTGCCCTAAAGGGTTTCTAAGGCTGTACATCTTTAAGGAGGTATACGGCCACATATTCTTCCTGTGGCACTGCTGGTAGGTTCGAACACCTAACCTTTTCGATAGCAGTCAAGCGTTTAACCACTGTGCCACCAAGGCTCCTTCTGAAAATATGGAGCATAGGTATTCTTTGCAAAACATCAGTTGGTATGCAGTCATCCAGTTTGGCAGTAATGCTAATTTCAGCAATGTAACATGAGGCTAAAAATATATGATGTTGAGGTTGAGATTCTGCATGACTGACCGTGACTAATATGGACTTCATTTTTCCTGCCAACATCTGGTCACCCAAGCCACTTACTGATGTTATGGACTATTCCATAAAGCAAATAATTACAACAAAATATTTAATTTGTGATAAGCAATAATTAGGCAATAAAGAAAGAAAAGGAAAACATCGCTTCTTATTTTATGCTTACATAAATGTGTGCAACATTTTGGAATTTGTCATTTCTTTTTCTGCCCAAACAGGAAAATTCATTTGTATTTTTAACATGTGTTATCATATAGTAGGATATGTATTAATAGGAAAGATAATGTATGTCTTCTACACTAGCAATGTTCTCCTTGTAATTAGCCACCAAATTTGTTACTAAGGAAAAACCTGGACTCTATATAAGATTATCTCTTATTGATTTATATAATTTTAATAAGATACCTTTAAGTTTATGTACATGAATTTTATATTTTGATAACATTTTAATTCTCAGAACTTTGCCTGCTAATGACAGAGACAAAAAAGTAGTAGATATGCATGATAGTGCTAGTGATAAATACATACTGTCTTTTTACTTTTTGGCTCTAAAGATAAGCACTAGACCAGAATGTCAGTTTGAATCATGAGGTTGGTGGGTCAAACTTACCACCTGCTCCTTGGAAACCCTATACAGGATTTCTGTGAGTCAGAACCGACTTGACGGCACTTAACAACAGCCATAGTTTCAGGGAGTTCTAATGTGGTGCTGTGGGATAAGCACTAGACTGCTAACCACAAGATCAGCAGTTCAAACCCATCATCTACTCCTTGGAAATCCTGTACAGGGTCAATATGAGTCAGAATCGACTCGATGGCACGCAGCAACAACAGTAGTATCAGGATGCTTTGTGTGGCATTGTAGGATAAACATTGGAGTGCAAACCACAAGGTCGGCAGTTCAAACCCACCAGCTGCTGTCGGACAACCTATACAGCATTACTGTGAGTCAAAACCAACTCCACAGCACACAGCAACAACAGTAACAGTATCAAATTTGTAGTACTGTAAAGAAAAAGAGGAAGACCCCCAATGAGATGGATTGGCCAAGTGGCAGTTGACCCAGAATCGGGCCAACTGTGTATAAGTTTGCTATGAGTCGGTACCAACTCGATGGCACCTAACAACAACAACAAAATAAAGTATTTAATCAAATTCTGGAATTCAGTGGAATTCCAGGTTCTAATGTCCTAAACTTTTAACATTGTAATAAAACAGTGTTTTAAAAATATTTTGTAAATGTTCTCAGATGCTTAAATTCAACTACAGTGATAAAGTGATGTTTTCTTGATTGATATGCCTTAAGAGATGTGGAGTTTCTAGAAGACTAATTTATTAAATATTCCCCATTAAAAAATTTTGTAGACAAAGGTCACAAAGAAAGCTTCTAAAAATGGGATGGTCTGTGCCATGGAGGGAGGTCCTGGGTTGGCAAATGGTTAATGTGCGTAGCTGCTCACCGAAAGGTTGGAAGGTATGAATCCATCCAGATATGCCTGAGGAGATTCACTTCTGACGCACCAGCCATTGAAAATCATATGGCTCCCATGAGCCAAGCTGACTTGCTGGTAACTGGTGCCATGAACTGGTGAGATCCTTCACACTAGACTAGCATCAGGCAGAAGTTAAATAGTCCTTATCAGAAAACTTTACCTGGGCTCTGAACAGGCGCTTTGAGAGAGTGTATTTATTATTATTATTATTTTACCAGTACTATCCTGGTGTCCTGCTTCAGGAATTTCAGAGGTATGTATACTATCCATATTGTTGTTATCATTTCTGACTCATAGCTACTCTGTATAGGATTTCTGAGTTGTAGCTGGTGAGTTTGAACCGTCAACTTTGTGGTTCAAACCTACTTTGCAGTCTAGCGCGTTAACCCACAGCACCACACCAGGACTCCATACTATCCATTTGGTACTACAAAATATAGAATGTACTGTATTTTAAGAAAGTAAGATATAGGTACATTATATATACATTATATATATATTGTTAAGTGCCGTTGAGTTGATTCCAATCCATAGCAACTCTGTATAGGGTTTCCAAAGAGCAGGTGGTGAGCTTGAACTGCCGACCTTGCAGTTCAAACAGCTTTGCAGTCTGGCGCATTA